TCTCCATTTATATCCCACTACCCCTAGGCTGCCACACAAGGAAGAATGGGCAAGAATTCCAGTCTCTCGATGTGCAAAACCGATAGAGACATACCCCAAGCGACTTGCAGCTGTAATTGCAGCAAAAGCTGGCGCTACAGAGTATTAGCGCAAGGGGCCGAATAATATTGCACGCCCCACTTTTCAGTTTATTTGTTAAAAAAGTTGAAATTATCCAATACATTTCGTTCCACTTCACGATTGTGTCCCACTTGTTGATTCTTGACAAAAAAATATTTTTTATATCTTTGTTTGAAGCCTGAAATGTGGTGAAATGTTGAAAGGTTCAAGGGGGGCGAATACTTTCGCAGGCACTGTATATGGACGTGCGTGTATGTAAATTGGGGTTGGGAATAAACAAGTCTTTTACTTCTTCTCACTCCCTTTCAAGCAAAGAGCGTTTCTTCATTGTAACAAAAAAATGTAATCTGTGTTGATGTATATTGTTTACTGTAAGGTTTAGTCAAGTTTGTGATGACTTTATTTTTTGTTGTGTCATGCTCATGCTTAAGATTCATTCTACGATCGGTCTGAGGCACACACGGTAACTTTATTGTGTCTAATTTCAGATTCAGTTTATTTGCCATTTGCAGTAAAACAACCACATTGGAATACGTTAGCAAAAAGTCTCCAGTGTGCACAGAAAAATACAGACATAAAACAACATTAAAAGACAAAAATAAAACAAAACAGTAAACAAATGTCACTGTGAAATCGATCGACTAAAACAGTTTCAAAACAAGTGCAAATCATTAAAGTGCTCTGTTCACACTGATAAAAGTTTGTGGATTAAAACTGTTAGCGTAACGAGATGTCCTGCATCTCAGAGAGCGATATCTTCTGCCAGAGGGAAGAAGCTGGAACATGTGTGGTGGTGTAGTGGTTAGGGTACAACAATATATTTAATCTTTTGGATAATAGCCCAATGTACAGCAACGCCACCTGGGGAGATGGCCCCAGGACCAATAATAGCCACTTGTTATGAGCAGTAACCCAAAATAACCCCCCCGCAGTAAGGGCAACAAAGGTTCGTTGGACTGAAGAGTACGAGAGAGAGTACGAGAGGATTAAAAAAAATATTTCTTTATTTTCACAATTTGGTTAAATTAGTCATCGAACATGTTCACTTTTACAGATATTAAAATACTTTATAACCCACAACAAAACAAAATAACAGTGACCTCAGGGGGAAACAAAAGCAGCAGTTAGTACACCTCCACCTATAGACTAAACTCCCTAGTGGCGGGGACCAACGTTACCAGTCTGCCTGGGAGAGCGCCAGTCCGAGTGCCAAAATCAGTGGTCTGGTTAGCCGTAGGTCCAAGGGCCAGGTAGACAGCCCACAACGCAGGGTGAGTGTTGCCCAGGGGTGGTCACATAAGTGGAGGCCCGGAAGGAGAAGCTCTGAAAGGGGCCGCTCACGGGGGCCGCTCAGAAGGGGAGAAGGGGAGGCTCGTCGGATCTACACAAGATCTTGCCGTTTTAGAGTGCAGCGTAAAGGTGCTCTTTAACCCAGGCGGGGCGCACACCACAAGATGGAAATATTCACATTCCCCATATTTGTACCAACTGCAGGGAATTAATGCAGCCCACAAGCCTGCACAGCTGCCGAGGAGGCGCTCTAAATCCGACAACAGGTCTGAGTAAGCGCAGAAACCCGCAAGTGCAATATACTCAATGCCAAACAATAAGGACGGCCCGCACGCCAGCACACGAAGCCAAGTAGATCGCCACGCAGCATGCGGACGCCAGAGGTGAGGAGAGAGACGCGACAAGTGAAACTAGTTCCCGTAATCAAGGCTCTAGTGGCGTGATTGGCCACTAGTGGGTATGCGCGTACCACTACACTCGGCTTTCCCAGGGTGGCCAGAAGAGTCATTGACAATCCTAAGAGCTTTGTTTAAAAGTCTGGATTTATAAAGAACCTCCAGAACAGAAAGCTCACAGCCCACGGTCCTCTTTGCAGAGCGGAGCCCCTTGTTTAAAGCTCTGTTTTTATCTGTGATGTTACCAAACCACACAGACACAGAACCAACAAGTAAACTCTCAATGGTGCAGCGATAAAAGTTAAGCAGAATCTTAGAGTTAGTGGTAAATTCTCTAAGTTTACGCAGAAAGTAGAGACGCTGACGAGCTTTCTTAACGACTCGGTCAGTGTTTTTAACCCATTTCAGGTCGTTAGACAGAGTTAAACCCAGAAACTTGCACTCCTCTACGATCTGCACCTGGGAGTTGTCGATTACGACAGGCAAATGAGAACTATTGCTGTTGTGTTTCGATGCGTTCAACTGGAGGTTGTTAGTTTTACTCCACTGAACCACATTTTGTATCTCTGCTCTATAAGAGGATTCATCAGTGTCACTGATGAGACCGATGATGGTGGTGTCATCAGCATATTTAATGATCAAGTTTGAGTCAGCGGAAGACACACAATCGTGAGTGTACAAAGTAAAAAGCAAAGGACTCAAAATACATGCCTGAGGAGAAGAACCAGTGCTCACAGAAGCAACATCAGAAAAACAGTCATTGATTTTCACTATCTGAAATCTGTCAGTTAAAAAGCTAAAAATCCATTTACACATGGCAACACTTAAACCGAGAGACATGAACTTTTCAATCAGTTTACCTGGGACAAGGCAGTTAAAAGCAGAGCTATAATCTATGAAAAGCATTCTCGCCACAGATTTACTATTGTCCAAGTGACTGTAGACAGAGTTCAGAGCAAAGGAGATGGCATCCTCCACACTCCTGTTCTGTCTGTAAGCAAACTGGAGCGGGTCAACACTCACAGGGATCTGGCTCTTAATGAAGTCCAGCACAAGCCGCTCAAAAGTCTTCATAAGGACAGACGTGAGGGCCACAGGACGATAGTCATTCAGGGCTGTCACAGCCCTTTTCTTAGGAACTGGAATGATGGTCGACTCTTTAAAGCAGTTCGGCACAGTACAGTTCCTTAGCGACAGGTTGAAAATGTCTGTTAGCACAGGGGCAAGTTGCTCAGAGCACAGTTTCAGGACACGAGGAGGGATGCCGTCCGGGCCTGGGGCTTTCCGGACTGTGGTCCTGGACAAGTGGTCCTGAGTCACGGTGAAGGTACCTTGATTGAAACACTCAGGGAATACAGTAGGACAGGCATCAGCGGATTCAAAGCGACAGTAGAACGTGTTCAGCTCGTTTGGCAGAGCTTGGCCGACAGATCCAATTTTCCCAGCGCTAGGTTTCCACGATGTGATGGCTTTTGGTAATTTTGAGACCTGTAACATTTTGTGGTTTACTGTATAGAAATGTACAACAAGCTCTCCTTTATCTTTGTAGTTTTCATGGTGTTCCTTATGCCTGTAGTAAATTAAATGTTGCTGGACATCAGTCAAAGTCCTTCTTTTCTTTGGAGATCAACGTAGTTACAGTCCTGTTGGGTTTCCTCTTTCTTTTATTCTGGTATATTTGAAAGTCAACCAACTTCTTAATAGGCTGGTCAACCAATCACAGCAACTAAAATGATGACTCATACCTACTGTAACAACAGGATCGGCCATGCCTCATAATTAAAGGTCTCATATTATGGTTTTTTGACTTTTCTCTGTTTTAACATAATTACAGCTCTTTGGCCTCATACACATGCCCAGAGTGATTTTTTTCATTGATTCATTCCAGCTTTAGTTAGAGAGCGATCTGTCTCCTTCACCCTCGAGAGGCAGTGAAACGCCCGGGTCCGCTACCACACTGATGACCAATATGACGCGCAGAAGCCCCTTTTTTTCGTATTTAAAATGGTTTTTAAATACTGTCTGTAGTGACTATTTGTCAAAAAATATACTATCAAAGAAAATGTAACCAAGACCATACTAGAAATACACTACAACCTCAAATAATCACTAGAATGCACCATGGGTGAGTGGTTAACGCAGTAAAAAAAAAAAAAAATGTCCAATCAAAAATGTAATGTTCGAAAAAGGTTTATTTAACAAGTTGCAGGCAAAAACAAAAATGCTGCATCTCAAACAACTGGTAATAAACCATAGGCCCACCCAGGTGCCTGAAGGTCCGCCCTGTACTGCCCCGTTTTATCCCCTATGTGCCACTAAACTAAACTAAACTGAAGTTAACCCACTATAATCTACAAAAATATCTAAATTACCAAAAAAATACAAATATCTTCAGCAAAAAATAACGAAATATAGAAAAATATACTAAACAAAACCCAAAAATAAAATTAAATTAATTTAGCCTACAAGCAAATAGCTCCTACACTCGAGCCCCTAATTGTGCAATAACTAATTACTAACTGCACTGAGGAGCTATTCTGACCATGTCAGTGTTATCTACGTGTAGCATTTTAGCCTTAAAGGAGCTATACCCGTTTCTGTAAGGTTTGAATGTTTAACACCGCCCTCATCTAGCTCACAGGCTTCTCATTTCCCCTACGCTCTCATAACACAAAGCCATCTAGGTTTTATTAGGGTTTTATTTACATTAGCATGAGCGCAACTTCTGTACGACAATGTAGGGTAAGAAAGTGAATGTGGAGAGGGGAGGCTTTGTATCAGTTTGTGTCGGTATTAAACGTTGCAAACGTAGTCCTAAACCTCGCCTACTCCGGGTTGAATGGATCTAAATTTAAGTAAGAGGGGCACCAGCAAGAAGTTGCAATTGAACTAGTCCATTCTGCCTCGATCAGTCTCATATTCTGATAGGTCTTGAGTTCTATATCGGCCAGGGATATCATGAATTATACAAAGAACGCTGACGACTCTTAAAAGTTAGCGTGGGTTTATTAACTACATATAGAAACGGGAACGGTAACCGGGAGGGATCGCACAAGTATGATAAGTCACATGAACAGGAATGTCAGAAACACATCACCATCACACACAATACAACTCCAGCAAGTCTTACTGTTACTGCCAAGTCCCAGAAGTTTCTAGCCGTTTGGGTCAGGCGCTCAAACACTTCAGTCTTCCTCACGCACGGAGAGCGGGTGCACACACACTCCAGTCTTTCCCACACACGGGAGCAGGGAGCGGGGATCGGTCCCGGGAAGCCCAGAGGTGGCTTGAGGCGCGATGGTCCACGGTGCTCCTTTTTGGTGGGAGTTGGAGAGCAGTTACGCCGCTGCGGGACAGGCAAGTCGAGTTCAGCTCGATGGGAAAAGGATCGGGCAGCTCTCCGGGCAGCGAGCTCCAACCTGCGCCTGGGTTGAAGTTGTGGGCCCCTGGATCGCGCAGGGGAGTGGGCCGCGCTCCAAGACGCGGCTCACTGGCCCAGAGAAAGTTTCAAAGAGAGTTCCCAAAAGGTTCACAAGCAAAAGTTAACACACGAAAAGTTGCTGTGTCTCTGTTTTTGTTCCGGCTCTGGGGGCGTGTCTTTGAGATGACTGCTGTATCTATGTGAGCCATTGTGGTGCTCTATCCGACCTCCATCGCCTTAGATGTTCCGAGCCGTGTGTTTTTGTTATCTCACACACAACCCCGCAGCTTGGCCGGCTTGCCTGGGTCATCGCGGGGGCAGTGCATTTTATTACCTTACAACAATCACTGATGATGGTACAAAAGCAACGCACCGCTAGTTCCGCGTCCAAATGTAGTCCGAGCATAGATAGTCCGAGGCGGTCCCGCAGGTCTCTCCGCAGTACAGTACGTTTTGAGTCTACACGGCGCGCCATGGCCCAGTTCGCGTGCTTTTCCATCAAAAATAGTACACCATAGTATGTCCTCAGCGTTGTCAGACTGTAATGTATGCATCATATGGCTAGTGCACAACTGCATTTATGTCCCTGCGGCTACCCGTAGTCAGAACTCGTGAAATAAACACACTTGAAGTAACGCTCCTCCGGCTCTTGTACATGACTCAGTCATACGAATTCCCTTAAGTATTTTACATGGTGTCAGAAGACTGTCGTGAGCAGTAAGTACCTGCGTGACCATGACAATGCAGTTTGAATTCCCCAAAATAGACTGGGAGGCGGCGGATTTATATCAGGAGTTCCAGCGGTTCCGCAGCCATGTTGGCTTCGTGTTCGCCGGTCCTCTGTCCGCGCGGGAGAACAAGGAAAAGGCGGGGTGGATTGGTACATGGATCGGGGAGCAAGGAAGAGAAATATACAAGACACTCCAGTGGGCTGATGGTAAAAAAGACGACCCTGATAAAGTGCTTGACAAGTTTGCAGGCTATATTAGACCGCGGAAAAACAAGAGGATCGCCAGGCACCGTTTCAAACAAAGAAAACAGGGTTCAACAGAAACATTTGACAACTTTGTGAAAGATTTGAGACTTTTATTACTGGACTGTGAGTATGCTGACACAGATGACATGCTAGTTGATGCCATCATAGCGGGCGTTAGAGAGAAACGTGTCCAGGAGAGACTGCTTGAAAAAGCCATTGAAATTCCCCAGCAGTTCGAAATGTCTCAAACGCAGATGAGAATTGTGAGAGAGGAAGATTCACAAGTGTCTGCTTTGTCAAGCAAAGTCAAATTTAACGCACAAAGCAAAAAGGCATACAACCACGTTCAGCAAGAGTACACACCAACAGGACAAAAATATAAAAGCTGTGGAAAATGTGGAAAAGACCCCAAACACAAGTGGAACCAAGGTAAATGTCCAGCAAAAGGCTCAATTTGCTCATGCTGTAACAAGCCAAACCACTGGGCGGCGGTGTGTCGCAGTCGCTCATTAAGTGCAGTGAATGTAGAATCATCAAGTGAAAGTGAAGAGGAAATACTCAACATTAACCTGACAACAGATGCCATTCCAGTCGCAATACTGGCAGATGATAAGTGGTTGGTGGACACATACATATTGTGTCAGAAGGTGCAGTTTAGGATAGATACAGGTGCAAAGTGTAACACACTGACTCTGAACTGTTACCATTCCATAAAGCACACAGGTGAGCTCAAAGCATCAAAAAAGTTGCTCAAAACCTACTCAAACCACAAAATAAAGCCTGTTGCTGCAGTCGACCTTCCGCTAAAACACAAAGGGCACAAAACCAAAGCAGAATTTGAAATCGTGGACATTGCACAAGAAAATGTGTTAAGTGGCACTACAGCTGAGGCACTAGATCTTATTGTGAGGCTGGATTCTTTACAAGATAGTGGGGTAAATAACAAAGTGAGCACCGACACAGTCCCAAAAGCACCCGATGGTCTGGAGAACTTTCCAGAGCTGACTCGCACAACAGGAATATGGGGTGCCGATTGTAAAAATTCTGTTAAAATTTTTTAGCTGAACATTTTTCTACATTTAGCTCACTTTCCTCACATTTAGCACATTTTCCTCACATTTAAGACATATTTATATCTAAATATTATATCTATATCTAAATGTTAAATGTTATATCTAAATATTATATCTATATCTAAATGTTATATCTATATCTAAATGTTAAATCTAAATGTCAAATCTAAATGTTAAATCTAAATGTTAAATCTAAATGTGTCGCCAAGTGTAAAGCTAAATATATAGAAACCACGCCCACTGCAGTGGCTTCAAATCCAGTGGGCCCGCCTTCCGTGCCGTGTGGTGAGTGGGGGCGGTGCCGCGTGTTTTGAACATAGGAATACACGTGGACCGACGTCACGGCTCAAGGCATGTTGGGTCTCCGGCGCCATCGTCCTTGGCCACGGCACAAAATTAGCATTTTTGTGAAGATTCTTGCTTATTTGCTGGAGCCAGAGTGTATTCACTGTAAACTAAGCCACGTGGAGTCCCGTGAGATTCCTGTGTAATCCTGTAGGGTTCTCACCACACGGCACGGAAGCCGGGCCCACTGGATTTGAAGCCACTGCAGTGGGCGTGGTTTCTATATATTTAGCTTTACACTTGGCGACACATTTAGATTTAACATTTAGATTTAACATTTAGATTTGACATTTAGATTTAACATTTAGATATAGATATAACATTTAGATATAGATATAATATTTAGATATAACATTTAACATTTAGATATAGATATAATATTTAGATATAAATATGTCTTAAATGTGAGGAAAATGTGCTAAATGTGAGGAAAGTGAGCTAAATGTAGAAAAATGTTCAGCTAAAAAATTTTAACAGAATTTTTACAATCGGCACCCCATACAGGAACACTACCAGGGAAGTACACAATAAAGATTGATAAAGAGGCTAAACCTGTCGTACACCCTGTGCGTAGACAGCCAGTCGCACTCAGAGCCAAGATAATTGAAAAGCTAAATGAGATGGTGCATGACGGCCACATTACTAAAGTAAACGAGCCAACTGAATGGGTCAGTTCTATGGTGGTGGTCACAAATAAAGATAAAATCAGAATCTGCATCGATCCGAGTGATTTAAATAATGCTATGAAACGAGAGCACTATCCAATGCGCACAATAGAAGAAGTTGTGTCAACCATTCCCAATACAAAGGTGTTTTCTGTACTAGATGCAAAGTCAGGCTTTTTGCAGATCGAGCTGGATGAGGCTTCATCACTCCTGACTACATTCAACACTCCAATAGGAAGATTCAGATGGCTGAGACTACCATTTGGAATAAAATGTGCACCTGAGATATTTCAACGCATCATGGACCAAATGCTGGAGGGCATCAAAGGAGCAACTGGCATTATGGACGATATTCTCATTGCAGCACCAAGCCTGAAAGAACATGACCAGATATTGAAAAAGGTTGTAGAGAGAACAACAAGCTACAATCTGAGACTAAACTTTAACAAATGCCACGTTCGGCAATCAGCAGTGCCGTATGTAGGACATTTAATAAGAGGACTGAAACCTGACCCAGGCTGTAAGGTGCATGCCGCCACCTACAGACAAGGAAGGCGTCCGACGCTTCCTAGGATTTGTAACATACCTGTCAAAGTTCATCCCAAACCTCAGTGAAATAGATGCGCCATTAAGACAACTCACAAAAAGCGATGTAGAGTTTGCATGGCAACCAGCACAACAGCAGGCATTTGATAAGCTCAAGCATGTTTGTACACATCACCCTGTGCTGAAATTCTATGATGTATCAAAACCAGTGGAAATATTCTGTGATGCAAGCAGCACTGGACTTAGCTGTGTTGGTGCAGGATGACCAGCTTGTGGCCTTCTCCTCAAGATCGATGACCGACGCAGAGACTCGTCACGCGCAAATTGAGAAGGAAATGTTATCCATTGTCCATGCATGCACCAAGTTTCACCACTACATATTTGGGAAACATGTCACAGTATACAACGATCACAAGCCACTTGAGGATATTTACAAAAAGTCGCTGTTGTCCACACCAATGCGTATCCAAAGAATGCGTTTGAGGCTCCAGTGGTATGACATTACAGTTAAATACAGGAGAGGCAAAGACATGGAGTTACCAGACACACTGTCCCGAGCACAACTCTCTGACAAAACGCCAAAGGCAGGAACTCTTGAGTGTGTCTCTATGGTCAACTTTCTGTCTGTAAGCAATGAGAAATATATGGAGTTACAGACTTGCACTAACAATGAGTTGAGTCTCCTCCGACAGGTCATCCAGGAAGGCTGGCCGGAAAACAGGCGTGATGTGCCCATTCCTGTGCAGCCATACTGGGACTCAAGAAGTCAGCTGGCTGTAACTGATGGTGTTGTGTACAAAGGTATGCGTATTGTTATACCCCCCAGCATGCAAAAGCACATGCTCGGTCTCATACATCACTCCCACCAGGGAATGGTGAAAAGCAAGCAGCGCGCACGGGAAGTGTTGTATTGGCCAGGCATGGGGGCCGAGATCGAAAGCATGATAAAAAACTGTTCAAAATGCGCTGAAACTCAAAACAGACTCCCAAAACAACCACTAATGACAACCGAAACACCTGAGCTACCATTTGAAGTTGTAGCGTCAGATTTGTTTGAGTTTGAGGACAAGCAATATGTCGTACTAGTGGACTATTATTCCAAGTACATTGAAGCAGATATGCTGAAGGATCAGCGCAGCCGCACTACTATTGAAGCGCTAAAAGCTCAGTTCAGCCGGCATGGAATTCCAGCGATCTTGAGAACCGATAATGGCCCCCAGTACGCATCAGAAGAGTTTAGGGAGTTTTGTAACAGCTATGGCATTCAGCATAAAACGTCTTCACCACACACACCACACTCCAATGGTGAAGCAGAGCGAGCAGTGCAAACAGTAAAGAGGCTCTGGAGCAAAGCACCTGACAAACACCTTGCTCTATTAGACTACAGAACGACCCCGCTTGAATCAGTTGGACTGTCACCTGCTCAGCTGCTCATGGGTAGGGGGCCTCGCAACAAACTGCCAACTACACGTGCTCTACTCAAGCCCATGAGCTACGACGCTCTTAAAGTAAAAGTTCTTCTGGAAAAGACAAAGCACACTCAGAAACTCTATCCTGACAGGAGAGCAACACGTCCTCGTCCGGATCTAAAGCCGGGGGATGAAGTCAGGATGGCACCTCATCCTGGCAAACACAATTGGTCCCCTGCAGTAGTTGTGCAGCCCCACAGTGCTCCACGCTCCTATGTGGTGGACAGCGGAGGTAAGCTGTATCGCCGTACAAGCCAACATCTTCGCAACAGCACTGAAACTGCCCACCAGCCACGTCACGTCACACCTGATGAAGAGCCCTGGCGTGAACCACCAGTGACATCAGCAGCTGAGGAGCAGTCTCCTACTGTCGCCCTGGAAATCACCAGGTTCACCCTCTGTGGTCCCCCAATGTCCACAAATACAAGAGCGGTGAAACCACCTGATAAGCTGAACTTGTAAAATTATCACACTTCTAATTCATTGGTTGTGTTTACCTGGTGGGAAAAAAAAGGTTAAAGTTTTTGTGGTTTTATTCACACAAGAAAAGTTTATTGTTAATAATAATTAATGCACTTTTGTTCAGCAGGTATTCTTTAATGTGTATTGTTATTACTGAGGAAGGGGGATGTAATGTATGCATCATATGGCTAGTGCACAACTGCATTTATGTCCCTGCGGCTACCCGTAGTCAGAACTCGTGAAATAAACACACTTGAAGTAACGCTCCTCCGGCTCTTGTACATGACTCAGTCATACGAATTCCCTTAAGTATTTTACACAGACCACGTCATTTACGTGTGACGCGTAACTAGTACTGGTGCGGTGCATGGATTTATTATAATACCAGAGCAAGTGTTTAATAGAAAATTCAGCACAGCACGAGTAGTTTTAGAAAATGCTTCTGTCTTAAAAGAATGACTCAGACACTGTGAAGTCAATGGTGCTGACTGCTTTGTACAATCTGAATGGACCTGTAGCAACAGCAGCCTGTGTAGCAGAGGAGGAGGGCTGCATGTCCGAGGATACGGCTAGGCTAAAGATAATGCTAGCGCTACCTCGAGACTCAGCTCACTCACTAACCCTGGATTCCAAAGCTACAACTGTACTACACTTAACACATCTATCACTACCCTCAGAGGAGGATCCGGGGTTCAAACTCGTCATATGGCAACTCGAGCAGTAAAGGACCGAGGGAGAGACAGCGGCAGCCATAGGGGTAGCGAGTTAGCGGCTAGGCTAAGCTAGGCTAGGCTAGGCTAGTCCGGACTACAGCAGACTCCGAGACCAGACAAACAATCGATACCCAAACCTCAGCTACAATAATAATAAATGAATGAAACACAGTCTTGGGATACAATCACAGATTTATTGAAAACAAAAGTAAAGTGCAAAACCAAAAGTTTACAAAGTCAAAACGTATGTGTGAGACCAGATGAGAATACTCCGGTCACTCATTGCTCATTGAAAATCTCCACACTTATGGGAAGGGATTCTCATACAAATATACACAAGACAACTTAAATACAAGCACAAAACAGAATGACAACGCGTGAATACTGCAGATAATACGAGATAAAGCACAGTAGCACAGGGAGGACGTTAGCTTAGCTGCTATCGATAGCTAAATGAAGCTAATTGTAGCTAGCTCACTGTGTACAACAGACAATCGAGCATTTACACAGTAAATACATTTCAGTGAGAGCTTTAACGGGATTCGTATCTAACCCGTTATTTCCAGGATTACCACAGACTAGTCACAAATCCAGAGCTGGTGATCTCCCTGAAAACTGTGTTGAGCCTCGAGCTGCCTTTAAATTCTTTCTTTGGCCTGAAGAGAGGAACGTGTGGACCTCGTCCACCGACCAGGACCAGGACTTTTGGGGCTTTCTGTGCAATTCCATTTCTCTGGAGTGAGGAGGACGTAATGTAGCCGAAGCAGAGCCGAGCAGAGCAGCCGGTTTTAAAGATGGCGGTTGAGTTGTTTTCAGGGTCAGATGTCGCTTCCAGTGACGACACTCGTTGACCAATCAGTGTAAGGCAGTGGGCCGACGTCACGTCATGGCTCGGTACTACGGGGATGGAACCATGGCTGAGGCAGTACGGAAAAGTACCCAAATCTCCCATACCATCCACTAGTGGAAACGCAAAATAACCGCGCTGAAGCGCACTGTACTGTACCGTACTGATACTGTGGAAAAGCGCCGATTGTCTCTCCAGAGGATACGATGTAAGCTAGCTATGTTCACCCGGGCTTGATTTCTTCTTTGATCCTTTTTTCGCTTTAGTTCCCTCTTCTCTTCCTCACTGTTGTGTCGTTTGGGCTGTTTAGCTGTGTATTCAGTTACAGCCAGAGGAGTTATAGCCACTTATGCTAACATGCTACTGTGTTTAGCAGCGCTGTAGAGGCTAGAGGACGCCGCCTCGTTCTGTGATTGGAGGAGAGCGGGTGTCACGCTCAAGTCTCTACTCAGCACTTTTTACGGCTTGAATTCATACAAAAGCTGAATCAATGAGCTCAAGTTTTTAATTAAATTACGGATTATATTACAACTTTTATGTAGTAATTAGCATTTTTATGAACTTATTAAAAAATAATCAGGTATAAAATCTTTAAGTGAGTTTATTCTTCTTATTGAAGCTGAAATAAAGCAATTACAGATAGAGTCCAGAGCAGCTTCAAGCAGCAGCCAGAGCTTTGTCACTAGTCTCTCCGACACACTGGTTTTGGTTTTGAGCTGCACAGTACGAACCAGGCCTTTTGAATCAGTGTTGACTGCCAGGACTCTTCCCATCAGCCAGTATCTTCTAGGGGCAGTGGCATCAGCAACGAAAGCTTTCTTTCATCATGGGCAATTACTCAGAAATCCGTCTTTTCCAGAATATGTCCATCATGTATTGTACTTGTCTCCATCTTTCCTTCAGATACATGTCTTGTTTTTAGAATAGCCCAGGTGGCAGGACTGGTTTTCCCTTTAGCGTTAAGATAGAATTGGGTGTGAGAGCTTCAAGATTTCCTGAATCCTCAGATATTGGTGCTTACAACGTGCTTTTGATACCGTTGATCATGGTCAATTATTATGTAAACTTGAAAAGTACGGGATCAGAGGACCAGTTCTCTCGTGGATAAAGAGCTACTTGCAAAACAGAAAACAATGTGTGGAAATGAAAAATCCAGTATCAAAATGTCCGAATATAACGTGTGGAATACCACAAGGTTCTGTTATTGGTCCTAAACTTTTCATTATTTTCAAAGTTGTTTAATTATATAATGATTCACACCAAATTTCTTGTAGTGGTTTTTGACTCCAGATTTATGTGGAAACAACATATTGACCAAAACAAAAATATCCAAAACTATTGGAATTTTGTCAAAAACTAAAGACTTACTCACCTCTGATGCACTACATAGGATCTACTGCACCTTGATTCTTCCCTACATGACTTATTGTGTGGAGCTTTGGGGAACTACTTTTAATACTGTAATCAACTCTATAGTATTGATACAACAACGTGCCATTCGCCTGATCAATAAAGCAGGATATTATGATCATACAAATCCATTATTTCCAAAAACAAATATTATGAAATTTAAAGATATTGTTAAATATGAAATACTTCAAATCATGTTTAAGGCCAAATCAAATGTGCTTCCAGAAGGTGTTCCAAAGTATTTTCAACTTCAAAAAACTAGATATATGTATTAAGAAATGTATTTTACCAAAAGTGAGAAAATCACAGACTCAGAGTTGTCTGTCGTTTCATGGGCCGCAGTTGTGGAACAATTTCAGCAGAGAAATGAAAGTATGTAATTCTTTTTTTGTATTTAAAAAAAAATTGTCACAGTCGATCCTGGATGGATACCGAACTGAATGATTTTGTTGTATTTATTCATTGAAATATGTTTTGGTAACTTTTGTATCAAGAACATGCAATTTTTTTTGCTTCTGCCCAAATAGTAAATGAACTGAACTGGTGTGAGAGGTCTGTCATTCAGAATGGCCTCCACTTCACATAAAACAGTCTGGAGGACTTCATCGTCCACAATCTGCTGCTTGAGGACAGAGGTGAGCACATTTTGACTGAGCGAATTAGGCGCTCCCAGACCCCTCCTTGGTGTGAAGCTGCAGGAGTATTAAAATGCCAATCAATTCCATCTTGCACTAAAGTCCTTTGGATTTTGTCCTGGTTTAAAGTTGACAAACTTTCGTTGAGCTCTTTATTGGCTCCAACAACATTTGTGCCATTATCTGACCTGACAGAGGAGACTGGTCCACGTCTGCACAAATCTCCTGACTGCGTTAATGCAGGAGTCAGCATCCAGTGTGTATGCAACTTCTAAATGGACAGCACGGCTGGTCAGGCATGTAAAAACTACTCCATATCTTTTGAGTAGGCTCCTGCCCCTTTTTACATGAATGGGGCCAAAATAGTTACTCCAACATCTGTGAATGAAGCTTTATTTGGAATTTCTCTTCCCAAGGGCAAATCTGAAATCTCTTCTTCTTTCTTTCTTCTTATTTATTTTTATTTTTTATTTCTTGTACACAAACCAAAAGTGAACAACAGGTAACCCCCCCACCCAACCAAAGTAAACTCATACACTCATTCACACCAGCATACTCACAACTAATCTGTAACTTATTAAAATTAACTGTTCTTTTAGTATAGTCATCGTTGTCATCATCTTAACATTCCAAAATTTAGCATTTACCAAAAATAAATGAAAATAAACAGCAACCAATCACACAATTAAAATCCACAAAAATAATAACTAGGAACCGAAACCAAAAGGTAAAATACAATAATAATGCTAATTAAAAGGAAGAGGAGAGAGAGAAAAGATACATACATTCATACATACAAACATACAAACAAACAATCTGACTTTTTTTGTTCCACTAACTTTCCACTGTTTCTTCTGCATGTGACACAGTCCGACAGAACCTTTCTAGCAGCAGAATTTGCACTGACTATACAGTATTTTTGACACCATGTAATCACTTCCTGCATGGCCAAGCTGATTGTGAATATGGTGCAGGATCAATGTTGAGACATACATATCCTTGCTCAAAATAGCAGATGCTTGGCCTTCATTGGGAGAGCTGCTTTATGGAGATGACCACCCACTGGGCGTCATTTATGAAAGTTGCGCAGAAAAGGGTGTATATTTTTGGTGCATATTCCATTTACACCAGACTCAATGTGGGATTTATGAACGTGTGAGATACGCACAGATTTGAGCGTACATGTGAGATACGCACAGATTTGAGCGTACGTGTGAGATACGCACAGATTTGAGCGTACGTGTGAGATACGCACAGATCTGAGCGTACATGTGAGATACGCACAGATTTGAGCGTACGTGTGAGATACGCACAGATCTGAGCGTACGCATACGCGGTTGTTGATAAATGCCGCGGTGAAAACTAGCGTATTTATGAAAGTCATGCCTAGAAATA